CAGCAACCTTCATTCAACTCTTGGGTTTAAGCAATTCTCTTGCCTCAGCCTCCCAAGTAGCTGGGACACAAAGCCCCGACACAAAGCCCCGCTATTTTTTGTTGCAATTGTCACTGTTGTTTTAAGTGGTCAGGCCGGGTTCGAACCTACTACCTTTGGTATATGAGGCCAGCACCCTACGCACAGGCACTGCCCCACCCTTCAGGTTAATAATAATAACAATAGAAGCTGATATCATCAATCCAAGAAACTACAGACATCTTTGTTTCCTCCCTGATCTTACCCTCTGGGCAAATAGACTTAAATAAAATCAAAACACTCTGGGCCATTGCCGGAATCCCACAGTGGGCAATGGAACCCTGAGCTCCCGCTTTTAATTCTACTCTATGTCTCTTGTCTTTCTTTCCTGTGGCTTTTAACCCTGTATTTCTTCAGTCAATTGCCATCGGTTTCCACAGGTCTCAGCGGATGCTGCTCTCAGGGTGGGACCCCGACAAAGACTAACTAAAGTTGATACTAATCCTGCATAGGTTAAGTACTCAGTCTTTTAAAAGTGTCCTGGCTCTGCGCCTGTGGCTTAAGCGGCTAAGGCGCCAGCCACATACACCTAAGGTGGCGGGTTCGAATCCAGTCTGGGCCAGCCAAACAACAATGACGGCTGCAACCAAAAAATAGCCGGGCATTGTGGCGGGCACCTGTGGTCCCAGCTACTTGGGAGGCCGAGGCAGGAGACTCGCTTGAGCCCAGGAGTTGGAGGTTGTTGTGAGCTATGCCACGGCACTCTACCCAGGGGGACAGCTTGAGGCTCTGTCTCAAAAAGAAAAAAAAAAAAGTGTCCCACACTCAATTCACCACCTGCAAGCAGAGGTTACTCTCAACTTCTGTTCCACTTGATGATACGCTGGAGGTTTTGCCTTCCTCTTCTCAGATGGATTAATGTACTAGAATGGCTCACAGAACTCAGGGAAATATTTAATTATATTTACTGACTTATTATATTCATAAAAGATATGACAAAGAATATCAATAGGGCTGGGTGCAGCAGCTCATGCCTGTAATTCTAGCTCTCTGGGAGGCTGAGGAGGGAGAATCACTTAAGCTCAGGAGTTGGAAACCAACATAAGCAAGAGCAAGACTGCTTCTCTACTAAAAGTAGAAAACTAGCCAGGCATCATGGCAGGTGAGTCCCAGTTGCTGAGGAGGCTGAGGCAGAAGGAGCCCTTGAATCCATGTGCTTGAAGTCCTGCGGGTTAAGCTAACACCTTGGGACTCTAGCCTAGGCAACAGAGTGAGACTGTCCCAAAAAAAGGAAAAAAAAAAAAAAAGAATATAGATGAGCAGCCAGATCAAGAGATATACAGGGCAAGGTCTGGAAGAGTCTTGAGCACTGAGCTTGTGTCCCCTAGAGTTGGAATGTTTCACCCTCCTGACATGGTTATTATTAAGTCCATTTCCAGCCTTTTTCCCCTCTCTGGAAAATGAGGGATGAGGACAGAGTTTCAAAGTTCTGTTCATTTCTTGGTCTTACCTGTGACCAGCCCCCATCCAGGAGCACACCCAAAGTCACCTCATTAGAACAAAAGTTGCTCCTGTAACCCAGGAAATTGCCAGGGGTTAGTAGTTCTGTATAAGGAATTGGACTCAAAGACCAAACAAATATTTTTTTTTTTTTTTTTTTTTTGGCTGGGGCCGGGCTTGAACCTGCCACCCTGGGCATATGGGGCCAGAGCCCTACTCCTTGAGCCACAGGTACCACCTGACCAAACAAATCTTTAAAGACCTTCCAAATAACCCTTCTATAGAACAAAGCTTCTAAGATTATCGCCTGGCTGGAAGCATAGTTTGTGTCTTTTTTTTTACAGTGTCTGCCCCTAACATTAGGAGCTCTGTGCCAAGAATGAGAACAGAGTCCAAATATATATATTTCTTATTATGTTGCAATATTATATACTGTATACCATTAGTATGCAGATATGTGCTCAATGCCATACTAATTGTCTGGGGTGCAGCAATGAATAGACACCATTTCCACATTCACTGAACTTACTGTTAAATGTTAGGGGCAGACACTAAATAAGCCATCACATGGATAAGGACAGCATATAATTACAACTAGGAAGAAATGCTAGAAAGGAAATGAAAGCTTAAAACAATGTCTTTCGGCTCAGTGCCTGTGGCTCAAGCGGCTAAGGCGCCAGCCACATACACCTAAGGTGGCGGGTTCGAATCCCCAGCCCGG